TGTAAGCGGTCCTCTCTGTTATATCCAAACTGTCTCAGAACGGGGAGGTGAAGTAGGCCCATCCTTTAACAAGTCCGTGCTGCTTGTGTAAAAACTAATGATTTTCAGACAGAGTGGCTCACCAGTACCTTTGTCTGTGTACGCTCTTGCTCTACTGCAGACCCCGTACCAACACTGTGGGGTGGGTGTCATCGCCACTGTGCATGCTAACAGGCACAGCTGCTGATTTTCCGCAGTGTGACTCAGGAGTGACTTTATGATCCTGGGTTTTATAAAGTCTTAGGTTTCCTAAGTGAAAAATCACTTGGAATTCTACAAAAATATCTTTTCTAATTTTTGCCTTGTTCTAATATTTACACCCCATTTTCTTTAAAAGTATATGGACTAGAAACCCCAGAGCTCATCTAGGTATATTTCAAGTAATCTTTTCTTGTCCTTAATTTAGCTAATGTGGATATTTTTCATCCTGTTAGGATCCTGTGCTCCTAGTATTGGTTCAGGAAGCGACTTTTAAAAGAGGAATCAACTCGGAATATTCTCAGTATCTTTTCTGTTCTGATTGAGACAGACATTCATCTATTTTTATGTTTTGACTCATTTTGTAAATTACATACATTTTTCTTAATTTTCAGGCTTGCATCCCCAGAGTAAAGGCATCTTGGTAATGGTGCGTTATTATGCACTTTTAAGTTTGAATTGCTTATATTTCATTTATGAGTTTTACATCTATATTCATAAGTGAGATTAGGCTTTTTAAATGCTTGTCAAATTTTGGATTAATAACCAACTTTCTTTTATCTCATCTTTCCTATATTATTTCATAGCATCTGTTTTGACATCTGAAAAGTTCCTCTCGATGCTATTAAGATAATTTTAGAAGCATGTTCTCTGTAAGGTAGAAAGTGGCATGCCCTGTAACTCAGCAATTCTCCCCCGAGGCAATTTCAGGACTTATCTTATCATGGTTCAGATTAGTCACATATGTACACATGTATGTATATCTACACATGGACAAAGATGCCAATGGCTGCCAGTAGCACATGTCAAAAATCACTTACATGCTACTAGTAGGGAAATGTGTTTATTAAACATGTAGTATTATATGTCTTCGTGGATTCGTATAGAAAACAAAACTGTAAAAACATCTAAAGAATGTGTGAGGTGTGGGTCCGCTTCCCTAAGAGGTCTACGTGGGAACCTTCAGGACAGCAAGTGGGAAAACCTGAAGACTGCCCTGTTTGGACTGATGTCCACTTGCGTGCGTCAGAAAAATAGAGAAGGGAAGGGGAAGCTTAATGTGAAATTCCAGATGGTAGTGAAGAAGAGATCCATGATAATGGGTCAACCCAACACGTGTGTACATTTGTATGTCCTTATTTAAGGCATGATCAGAATTTTTAACGATTTTTTGGTAACTCGATTGTGTGGTTCTTGGATGTGCGCCGCTTAGAAGCCTGTGTCCTGTTGCACAGGCTGCGTAGGTTTGGGTTGATGGTCTGTGAAGCCGATGGCAGCATCCCTTGTATCCTATCCTTTATTCCACGGTTGCAAAGGCAGTGCCAAAAGGCTGGGCACAGCTGACCGCTGTATGCAGTGCACACCCAGTAAAGAACAGTTGCATGCAGAGGTGCTGGCAGTGGTGACTCTAAACACAGACGTAATAAGGAACTCAGTGTGCATCTTCTTACATATCCCCTCCCATCCACATATGGCAGTCTCTCATCTGAAGTCTCTCTGGACTTTCCAGACAACAATGACTTCCTCTTCATGATAAACCCACAAGGCTGGTTTACACGTCCATTGCGCTTTGTGAATTACCCAAAGCAAGGCATTTTACTGCTTGTGAGTTATGGTTGCCTCTTGTTAATTGCCTTCTGTTTGTAGCAGACATAGGAAGAGTTCACAGACGGACGTCACCCCAGTCTGTGACAACATGTGGCCCACATGTCACTGCAGTTGAGTAGAGAGGTTTATGTAGAGGGTAGTGAGTAGGTCAAAGAATCTTGGAGAAAGGGGAATGATTAAACTCCAGGATAAACCTCCAGAAACTGAACCCCAGCCTCCCCCACAGACTTCCAGAGGACACTGCTATTGTCCAGAAGCCTCTGGGGCTGGGATTTGAACCAAGACCATTTCTGTACTGCAGACATAGTGTGCAACCATCCTGCCCTATGAAGTCTGAAGGCAGGTGTTATTTCAGGATGGAATCTCCCTCTGGTCTATCTGGTCCCTCTTGCTCTGTCTAGCACAGTGGAGATACTGTCTTCTCCGATCAAGGACAAGGCTCACACACCTGTGATCTGGAGCTGCAGGCAGACAGCCTCTTTCTTGGATGAAGAGACACACGGAGGCTCTAAAAACAAGTGAGCGAGGCCCTGTGAGTGACAGCTGTGCTCAGCCATGGAGCTTGCAGGTGACTGTTGCCATGGAGACACGCTCTCTTCATCATCTCAACAGGCTACAGTGTTTCTCTTCTTTCACGTGCTCCAGTTGGCTTGGCCCACCAGGACATACCTGTGTATCCTCTCTTGAACATGTGACTGGGCTAGGCTGATGGATCCCTCTGCTGTTCCCTGACTTTGTACTAGAGACAGCTTCAGTCAGTGTCTCTCTTAAGTGGCTGTTGAATTGAAAACCCAGATGCTACTGGTGGCCACATTGATTCATTCATGGTTGAATCATGCTATCTGCAAGAAAAGGGTGGTGTGTTTGTGTGTGTGTGTGTATAATGTGTGTGTGAATGTATGTATGTGGGTGTATGTGTGTGTGAGAGAGTATTTGTGTGTGAAAGTATGTTTGTGTGTGTCAGAGAGAGGAAGAGTGAAAGAAAGAGGAGAATGTGTGTGTGTGTGCATGTATGTGTGAGAATGTATGTGTGTGAGACAGAGCGTGTGGTGTGTGTGTAGGTATGAACACAAATGTAGAAGCCAGACATTGATGTTGGGTGTCTGTTGTTGAGGAATATTATTTTCAGGTGTGTGACTTTTGTTTATGCTGCATTTGTTTGACTCTGTGAAGCTGTGTTACTGTGTCTGTCTAAATTCCCTTATGGTCTAATAAAGAGCTGAACAGCCAATAGCGAGGCAGGAGCAAGGATAGGTGGGGCTGGCAGGCAGAGAGTATAAATAGGAGGAGAAGTCTGGGAAGAAGAGCAATGAAAGAACAGGAAGAGGAGGAGGATACCTGGGGTCACCCTGTCCCCCTGCCACTCCACCAGACCCGGAGTAAGAAGGGCAGGAAGGGTATACAGGAATAGAGAAAGATAAAAGCCCCAAGGCCAAAGGTTGTCAGGATAATTTAAGAAAAGCTGGCAAGAAACAAGCCAAGCTAAGGCCAGGCATTCATAATTAAGAAAAAGCCTCTGTGTGTGATTTATTGGGAACTGGGTGGTGGGCTCCCCAAAATCAAAAGAATAAAAAAATCACACATAGTCTTTCTCAGTCACTCTCCACTTAGATTTTTGGATCGTCTGTCCTTGAACCTAGCACTTGTTTTGACTAGACTGGCTAGCCAGGAAGTTCCAGGGATCCCCCTGTTTCTGCCTCCCTAGCTCTGGGGTTCCAGGTGTTCACCGTGCCCAGCATTTAGGTCCTCATGCATAGGTGGCAAACATTTTATGGACTGAGTCACTGCCCCAGCTCCTTAGTCAGTGCTGGCATTGATGCTGTAAGCCTTCCGTTTCCAG